TTCATACAAAACCAACAGAAGCAACTCTACGCGAATTTCTTTCAAAATCGTTCTCTGCAAGAGTTTCTCGGCTATTTGGCGATCATTTGCTTCTCTGCTATCAATTTCACCCAAATACCAGAAGGTTACTCAGTGGGTTTCTATGTGGTATTGTTGATCGTTCAACGAATGTTATTTTCGTCAAGTGTTTGTTTCCTTATATTCGCAAATGCGGCGGGTAGTGTAAAGTGGTTCTTTGGCATATTGGAGAATACACTATTCAAGAAATTCAATCAAATAACATATGCTATGTTCCTCCTTAATCCAGCAGTCATGGTCCCGCTGATAAGCTCGAATAATAAAAGTCGCTATAGCAGTTCATATAATTTAGTGAGTTTCAGTTTGTTTTATTTTAACTTTTATTTGTATACGATTTTTATGTATAAGATAATTTTTTTATTATTTTAACTATTGTTTTTGTATTTTTAGGTAATGGAATACATTAGTATTTGCGCGTTACTGATCTTCTTTTCCACAATTTCCTCATTATTTTTCGAAGTACCCTATAAGAATATTTCCAAAATGTTGGCTCAGCGCACTAAGCCCAAGACGAACTAAGCGCAGTTTACTAGTGTGAGCTTCGATGAAATTAAATCTAAGAACGCAGTGGCTTTTATTGTAACAATGAAATAATAAATAACTGGCCATGCGACCAGACACAAATCAATAATTTTTCATCATGACAACGCTCGGCCACATGTTCTAGGCCAGTTAAAAACTATTTGGAAAACTGTTCTACCTCACCCACCTTATAGCTCAGACATAGCACCTTCCGATTACCACTTGTTCAGATCAGTGCAGAATGCCCTCTCCTGAGTACGCTTCACTTCCGAACAGGGTATCAGAAATTGGCTCGCTTCTTTCTTGACCTCCAAGCCGGAGAAATTCTTTTGGGATGGGATCCACAAACTGCCAGAAAGATGGGCAAACATCGTAGCTTCCGATGGGCAATACTTTGAACATTAAATGTATAACAATTTATAGCATGACAAAATGTAGACTGTCAATGAAGGAATCTCATGGATTTGCATTCAAACGAATTTGNATTACACAAAATTTTATAATTATTTTACAGTGGCTTCCTGCAAACATACCACTTCTTTCGAAACACCAAAACTATTAAAACTATGCGGTTAAGTAATGTAATAAAGAATGGAAAAACGTTACTTATGTACATTATGTATCGTTTGATTAGGTAAGTACCGAAAGCTCGTAATGCCTAAAAGCTTCAATATATAAAATTAGATAGAAACGTTTGCATTTGTTTATGTTTCGTTTTTCGCCTCTACTTCAAACAGATTGGGTCCTTTATACTTCCTTGTCATCTGCTTTGCCGATGCTGGATCGCTTCTGAGGGACGATACATCGGTTTTCCACTTTAGCCATCGTATATACGCTAATTGCGAGTTATATTGGTGGCGCAGTGCACTCTTCATACAAAATTTCTTTAACCACGATGATATGTGCTTGTTTTGGACATGGTCATCAGCTTGTGATATGCAATTTTATATATTTAGTACAATTCTACTTTTTATCTACGTGAAGTAAGTGCACATACGCAACATATCAATATATATGAATGAAATATATAATATAATTGATTTAAAATCTCTCTTACAGACATCCCAAAACGGCCAAAGCTCTCACTCTCGCCACTGTATTGGCCAATTTGGTCTATACAATCTATACCGGCATGACAATGAATTATAAGTATTCCTTTGAGACCACATCGGTGTTATTCACGGAGCTCTATATGAATCCGCT